AACCACGTACATGAATTCTCAACACCACGACCTTTAATTTATGAACCACGACCTTTAATTTTGAAGCCACGGCCATGAATTGATATATTTTGGCCATGAAGTATCTCAACCACGGCCTTCAATTCTATCCAACACGGTCGTGAATTTCTTCATCACGGCCTTGAATTATTGACACCATGTCTGTGAATTATGAATATTTCGGCCGTGGTTCCTGCATTGTTTTGAATAACTTCTTACTCAAGTTGTTTGTCATCACCCGTGCCTGCTTTTATCTTAACAGTTCCAAATGCAGTATATGAACAACATTCATATATTTAAAAAATGCATTAAACTGTATATGATTCAAAGAATAAAAACATTCAAATATACAAAAATAGTATTTAACTATTACAAATGTACTATTCATACGATACATTTGTTCGCCCAAAGCTGAACGACAAATTACCGCCTAAAGAATGACATCCTAGACTGTGTTAAGGCATCTAAGCTAGAGGCAGTTGCATCATACTCAAAAAATTTAACACAAAATATACCACAGTCACCGTCGCCTTCCTGTTGGGATGCTGATACGACTCTATGGATTCGCCATGGTGTGAGTGGTATATTCGACTTGTTTAGCTGAACTCCGGCCCTGCAGATCAGTGCTGGGATAATAGTTATCATCGGCTTCAGGGCCTCTTCCAACTTAGGAAGTGGTGTTAAGGACATAAAGGAGTCTCACACGATGACCTCACCCTCGTYGAAGTCGATGCATATCATTACCCAGTGCATTCCACCGATATTGTACGGTAGATAAATGGCATCGACATCCATCCAGCGTTGCTCGTAGTCCGAGTGAGTGCCATCGATGTAGTTGAGTAGAGTCTTCGCTTTTCCCTCCCAATCATAGTCTGTTGCAACCCTCGAAGCAATGGCGCTATGAGATTGCATGCAGGCATAGACACCATTCGTACGTCTGAGGAAGTTCTATAACGAGAACGACAATTGAATAAAAGGCGAATATATATATTGAGGTTTCTGGTTTTTAAAGCTTACCGCAAGTACTTGGTCTCCGGTGGTGAACTTGCGACGACATAAGTCTGGTCGCAGTTTGAGCTTCTTACGCACGAACATGACCAACGAATCGACTACCTGTAAAGACGAACAACAACGTAATGAAGGTACGAACATTAATATACCCAAATTCAAGCATGGAAAGCAGTTGTACCTCACACRAACACCATTTGTTTGGTGTTAGAATATCCCGAAACCATTGCTTGTCTCGTTGTGCGTAGCATGTCTTCCGTGTTGCTCGCGGATTACTGGCATCATCCAACCACTTTTGAAATTTGGAGTCTTGTTCCTTCGGGATCTCGGCGACGGGATTGTAAACCATGACCTTCTTTCGTTTACCTCCAACCTTAACTTCGAAGGACCCACGAAACTTCCATGATGTTTTCCTCTTCCATTCCCCCCGACGAGGTAGAGGGGGATCAAATGGCTGTGATAGAACGCGCACGTCATCTGTATGACCGTGTGCCACGTCGGATGAGGTCTCTTGGGGTTGTGACTGAACGTCGAGGAGCTCATCCGATTCGGTGTCCGAAAACTCATCGAAGACTTGGTCCTGTAAAACAATATAGTCACTAAGTCAAACTGTAGTTACTAAGTGAAATACAAAGGAACGTTGAAATTCGTACTTACCTCGGGTGTCTGTGGGACTGGTACCTCCTGCGAATGTTTAATAGCTGGCTGCGCCACACAAGGTACTTCCTCGAGTGTCGGTGGGACTGTTTCTGAAACGTTGAAATGTTTCGTTTCCACCATTTCCCTTTCTTTCGAAGTCCCAACAACGTCATGAGACACTTCTGTAGCCTCCAGTGCATTCCCCATGTCTCCAACCTCACCTCCTCGGTCGGTAGGCTCCGCTTCCATTGCTTCGTTGTCTTGGTCGGCCCCATTTCGATCGTCACGCTGTTCGTCCTTATCCTTTGTCGGACTCTTGCTACCACCAACCGRWCCTGCAGAATCTCCATCRSYGGTGTCATCTCCATGTCCARYATTGTTCTTTCGAAGAACGRAAGTATCCACTGCTATTCCCTGTATGCAAGCATAATGTCAGATCACATACCATATAGATGGACTAGAAAGCATTAATGGAGTACGCACCTTGACTAGCCGACGCAAGAACTTNCCCTGTATGCAAGCATAATGTCAGATCACATACCATATAGATGGACTAGAAAGCATTAATGGAGTACGCACCTTGACTAGCCGACGCAAGAACTTCCGAATGCTCTTCAAATCACCTTCCATGCCAGCGACGCGATCGTCCATAGAAGTGACTACCTGTTACACATTCGCAAGTCGCTTATCCATGGTCGCCACCTGTTCAGTCAAGCTCCTCAARCCAGACTTGCATTTGCAGCGATGCTTCTTGTCACTCTTCGTCTTCCTCTTACCTTTCACATCTGTATCCATAGTCGGGACATCAGGATCGGCATGRGTGGCGTCGTGCTGCGCGTCACGACCTTCCATTTCAGACTGTACTTGCTCGCTTGCCTGTTCCTCGTCACCTAAGTCGTCACTGGATGGTGGCTCAAATTCCCTTTCCATGAACCTCTCCTCCGCTTCCGTTGCGATAAGTCTGATAGCCACTTTAGCTTGTACACAAAACATACTCGTAAGAGCACGYTATATGAAAATAAATATCATATATATGTAATAGTAAATGATCTCACCGATGTGGACTAGAATATCTCCTTCTCCATGACAACCCACGCAGGTGAATATCCACACTTCCACTTAAGTATGCGTGGGACACCATCCGGTTTTATAGGATGCGCAACCCGACTGGTCAAACACGATATTGTTTCGTATCCCCAAACCTGTATCAACATGACGTATGACAACATCACATAAAATGAATAGGATATAATATAAATTAAAACTAAAACAATCACTGCAAATACCTGGAATGCCCAGGGGAAACCGTACAGACTATACGTCTTCCTCAGCCCCCCATCTCTCCCCTTCTTCGTCAGGGCACGCTTCAAACTTTCTATAGTCTTCTCAAAAGACATCTCAGCCCAGCCATAATTACAGCAAACCTCTAGGTCATCCACGACTCCTAAGAGGCTATTATCCAACTTCAACGTCCTATCCCTTCCAAACAAGACAAGCTCAACAAATAATAACATTGATATCTTGACTGCATCAATGTCATCCTCGAATTGCATCACCATATACCTCGCCTCAAACTCACTTAATAAGATATCAACTTTGTCATCAAAGTACAACTTCCTAAGCCTCTTCGGAGAAGTGTCCTTACGARTCGGCCRTCTACTATATTTCAGGCCCGTTATCAGACAAAATTCACTAAATCCAAAAGATACTCTATTACCAAGCACGTCCATAGTAATTACGTCTACTCTACTATTCTCCAACTCCCTAAGCAACATGTTATGTATAAGTGGCCCATTAAGTACGAGCTCTACGTCTAGCAAATGGTCGAAAATGGTCTTCCTAAACATACTAAGTTGCCTAGGGGTTAGTTTACTCTTAATAGCCTTTACCGTGCTCCCTATGTGGGATAGGCAGGTAAAATTGGTTGAACGATAGCTAGAGGGAGGAATCTTAGGTACCATCTCCATTTTATAAACCTGAAATACAAATACATTATTCAGCAAGCCAGAACTCAAACAAAGAAAGGAACAGATGAAAGGAATGGATGAAAACTCAAACATAGAAAGAAACAGATGAAAGCCCAAAAACAACATAATTTRTCCAAATTCATGGGCTTAACATGGCCTAGGTAGTGCAAATTCAAGAAGGATATTGATTCTGTCAAATTTCAAGGTCACGACCATGGCCGTGGTACGATCGTGAATTTRGACAGAACCAATGTCGTGGTACTCTTTTTCATGGCCGTGGTCAAGCAATCATTTTAACCACGGCCAAAAACCACGCCCATGAAATTTGCGTTGAACCACGGCCGTTAACGCGCCCATTAAACTTTCCTTCTTCCACTCTAGAAAACCCACACAACCATAACAAACGCAGCAGAAAACGTTTAGCCCACACAAACCCACGCAAACACAACCGAAAATAGAAACCCCGAAGCCCTAAATCAAAATTTCAACCACAAACGCAAATCATAAACAAAAAACACCGATTTTGAGCCCTACAAGTACCGAAAATACTAAATAGGCTGCCATGAAAGGAATTAATGGACAAATAACGAAAAAAATCGCAAATATAAGTAAAAAAAGACTTATTTTCTTGCCATAAAAGAGACGCAAATACAAAATAAAATGTTCTAACCTCGAAGTTTCGGATATGGGAAGCGATTCGGAGCACGATATTGACTAGTAGAGAGTGAAACAGAGGAAATTGAGGGAGTGTAAATCGAATGGGCGAAAACGAAAACGGAAGAACAGAAAAGAAGATGGAATGAGAGATACGAACAGTTTGAATTTGAACTGAGGGGTATAATGGTCATTAAATTAACGGCCGTGGTACTATTTTTCATGGTCGTGGTCAAGCAAACAATTTAACCACGGTCCAACCTAGCCCATTAGTTGTCTTTCATGAACATCACGGTCGTGGTACTAGTTTTCACGGCCGTGGTCAAACATTCATTTTAACCACGGTCCAACCTAGCCCATTAGTTGCCTTTCATTAACACCACGGCCGGGGTCCTATAGTTCACGCCCGTGGTGAAGCAAAAAATTCGTGTTACTTTTCTACTAACCAAGGTCAAACTAACAATAACCACGGTCAAAACCACGGTCGAACCTACCCATTAATTTCCTTTCGTGTTAATTCGTTTGCGACTTCACTTGCATTCCAGATTGAGGCTAAAATAGTAATTTAATCCTTCAATATTCTATTCAAAATATTAAATTGGGTCAGTTGAGTCAAATTTTTTAATTGAGGTCAGTTGAGCAAACAACAAACTTTTTTAGGTTATCCATGCCAATTTCCCGTCATTGGCGGTTARTGGTGTTGGAAATTGAATTGAATTCGACTGTAGACAGYGAAAGCTTGCACAATTAATCTGAAAATCTTGATGATATTTTTAATTAAAAAAATATTCTCAAAACAAAAGGGATTAAAATCCTTACTTTTAGGATGACAAAGGGCAACATGATTGAATAGACTTTTCACACCTAAATGAAAGCTAAACTAATCGGCYTGGGACCTATGAACTGGGGTGTTCACGGTTCGGTTTGGAAGTCAAATCGAAACCGAAATCGATTTTTAAAAAATGAATAAGTGAAAACCACACGGAACCGAAGTGAGTATAKAAACCGCATGAAACCGAACCGCAAATCGATGATTTAATCAGTTCGGTTTGCGGTTTCACATACATGTGGCATAAATAGAAAAAGTACTTGGGCAACTATTCACAGTGACGAAGCTYAGTGGTCATTTTTTCAGCGGCATACRACTGCTGTTGAAGGAGAAAATGTTTTCACGGGTCATTTGACTAGCAGTATGCGGTAGCATCATCGACGAGGAGAAGAAGCCTAAGTGACTTGGCCCGAGCCTAAGTGAAAGTGAATGGTGRGCTCAAAATCAAACTATACCTTGCCAAAAGGCATAATATCTTGGGAGTGCTATTTTTGAATCTTAATTTCATAAATGTCTTTGGTTTTCAAATTTTACACTTTTAGATATTTGCAAGTAGGATTTTTTGTTAATATCGATTCTACCCTTATTTATTACATTTTCTTTTATTATAATTTTTAAATTTAAAAGATTTGAATCCTTAATTTGTAATTATATTACTTTAATTATTGTGGGCTCAATTCAATTTGTCAACACTAATTCCTCAATTCACTCGTTTAAAAAAGATTTTTGCTAATAATACATAGATGTCCGCATGATGTTTTCCTCTCAGCAATTAACAACTTCCAATTTTATTAAAACAAGTTTTAATTTTTTCCTACTGTTCTATTTTCACCACTGCGAATATCTAACTTTTGTTTCCTCTTAATACGTCTGCTGCCGTCTCCGTGCTTTGTTTCCAGTCGTCGGCTGCCATCTCCAATCGCTGTATTTGTTCCCCGCCGTCGTCGTCTCAGACCTTCACGGCTTCTGTCAACGAGGTATTGATTCCTTCTTCGCCGATGATTCAGACCTTCATTTTCCGTCGTCGAATAAAGTTTCCGTCGAYGTCTTTGCACGTTTCTGACGCTGAGCAGTGCGTTCCTCGTCTCCAGTCCCCTTCCGTTTATACCAATCGTAAGGTAATAGTCTTCCCGTTAAGATTGGTATATATGAGTATATATTGTATATATGTGTATATATCTTATAGTTATATATACATAAGATATGGTACTAATCTTTAGCTCGCATTGTCAAGTAGTTTTGTAGAAAGGGTCTAGAAAATTGAATTTCTAAACGTCTCATAGTCTTAGTCTTCCTGTTAATATTTGTATATATGGGGATATACTGTATATATGTGTATATATCTTATATATGTATATATCTTATAGTTATATACACATAAGATATTGGTACGAAACGAGACCTTACCAATAAGAAATTACACAAACCATGAGACGTTTAGAACTTGAGATTAGTACATTGATAATTTTCAAGACCCTTTCTACAGAACTACTTGACTATACCAGCCAAAGATTGGTACCATATCTTATGTACTAATAACTATAAAATATATACACATATATAATATATACCCATATATACAAAGCTGAACGAGAAGACTATTACCTTACTATTGGTGTAAACGGAAGGGGACCGTAGACGAGGAATCCACTGCTCGACGCCGGAAAGGAGAAGYCATACAACAAGAAGATGTCGCCCGAAACATTGTTCGTCGACGAAAAATGAAGGTCTGAAACATACGGAGACGGAAAATWGGATATAACTGAAGCAGACATACAAAGACGAAAAATGAGACGGGGAACGTACAATGACAACGACGRGAAACGGAAAATGAAGCAGACGAATGGATACCTACCGATATAGCGACCAGAACAAACACGGCTGCGTCAGACGACGTCCGACGAACGGTTACAAATCTCGGAGACGGCAGCAGACGGAGGAAGCGGAAGGGTAACTGCTTCCGAAGTTGGGGGATATTTTTGGAAGTTTTCAAATTTGGGGAATTTTGGGATTTTTTTTGGATGTTTTGGGTGTTGGCTTTTTGGCCCTTAATCTCAAATTAATTAATTAATCAATGTTTTGATGATAAYAAAATTAATTTTTATTTATTGATAATTTTAGTTTTTTAAAATGTCCACAACGTAGAGTTCGTTACAATGATTCCAATAACTGTTAGATCATCCAAATCGAAGCTCAAACGAAGAAGTTACGATTGAAACAAGAAAAGAAAATACCCGAGAAATGACGTGGATAGTTCGTAAGCTTGACAAATGACAAACTTGTTTTGTTAATATATATATATATATATAGAAAAGGAAAAGAAAAGAAATGGTTAAAAAAAAGTTTTGAAAATTTTTACCGTTTCTCACGTGTATATATTATTTTATTATTTTTATTATTATTATTATTATTATTATTATTATATATTTCAAAACTTGTCACGTAATTTTATATATATATATATATATATATATATATATATTTTATCACATCATTATATATATATATATTTTTTAATTTTTTTTATTATTATATATATAATTCTTAATTCATTTTTTTTCAAATTTATCTGAACCCTTCTTTTTTAATAATTAAAATCTAATGGTCCAAAATTAAACTTAATTTTTTTTTACCATTTTCTTCGCTCTATTTAAATTCAACTCCTCATTCAAAATTAAACAACAATTCTCTTATTCTCAATCCTCCATAACTTCAAAATTCTCATTTGCTAATCTCTCCAAGTTCTCAATTTTTCTTTCCATATTATTTGTGACAGAAATTTATTGTTGTGAGGATTGAAATTTTTGTGAGCTCAAATTTGTATATTTACTCTATTTGAGAGTTTGTAAGTGTGTTTAGAAATTTCCAATTCATTGTAACGGTGTGATYCTCACCGTGGAGAGGATCGTCTTTGCTCTTGTGAAAAGCAGTGTACCGATTTGACTCTTACCGTAGAAAGAGTCAAAATTTCAATTTACAACCCAAGAGGTGAAGTGGAGTAGGACAGTTGTGCCGAAACACTATAAAAATTTCCGGTGTCAAATTTCTATTACTCTCTCTCTTATTTATTTTTGCAATTAATCTTAGAATTTTATTGTTTGCTTTAAATTTCTCTTGTTTGCCTTAGAATTTATTTTATCTTACTTTGTTAAAATTGTATATCTTTGTTTAAATTGAGCCCATTTATTAAAAAGTTTATATTTTGTTAATTAAACCCTATTCACCCCCCTCTAGGGTTGACATAGATCCAACATTGGGGTTTTAATTACTTTTGGAAAGTATCATTAAGCAAAAATTATGGGATCCAAATTATAACCTYCCAATA